TGCTGAGATGAGTTGGGTACCCCTGAGTGCATGCAGGTCACTGCTCAGATTCCCTCTCTTCCTCTGCCTGGCAGCAGATCCTGGCCTGCACACACTGCTCCCAGTGGTCTCAACACAGCGGTGACAGACAGACCTGTTTGCTGTGTGTCCCTGCTGAGCCAGCATGCAGTACTAAACTGCTGCATCACCACATTTATTCCTTGCTGCAGGGAGGTGACCACCACTTGTGAAGCTTGCCATGGCTGGTCACTGCGTGATACAGAGAGGGAACCAATATAAACTGGAAGAGGAGGCCTCCTGTGCCCCTTGAGACCAGCTGCTCCAAGCAAAGCCCTTCCCCTGCACCTGAAATGAGGCCTGAGCCATTGTACTGCAGGAGCCCGGCAACTAGACCCTGTGACTGAAGGGATGTGTCACCTCCAGCTACAGCAGGAAGCTCTGTCAGCACTCCCAGGCAGCTGCAGCAGGGCTCAAATGCACTCCCAAAGCAGGCAGAGAGGTTGGAGAGCTTTGACATCAGGTACCATTAATGCCACGTGGAGATGAGTGCTGACAGTGATCCACACCTTGAGCTCCCCATGGCGTGGGGAAGCTCACCTGCTTCTCCACTGCACCCCACAGCTGGAGAAACACGGAGGAGACAGTGCTACCTATGGTCGGAGTACAGGGCCTGGCTGCCTCCTCCCTCCATGCCGCAGCCACATCCCCATCTGCTCCCACAGCCACCCTCACCTCACGGAAGCTGAGCTTCCCATCAAAGTCTTCATCCACCTCCTTGATCATGTTCTTCAGCCCCAGGTGGGTCTGCGGGGCTCCCAGCTTTTCCATCATCAGCTTCAGCTCCATCAGGTCAATGTACCCATCCCGTCCTGAGTCGTACCTGCAGGGTGCAAAGGGGAGGGGGTCAGCCCTCATCATCCCCTATATCCATCTTCCCAGAAGAGGAACTGTGCAAATGGATAAAGCCATGGTGGTTCAAAGCTTGGGGGAGAGGGGAAGCTGCACAACACGGCCAATGCTGAGATATATTAAGCTTGGGGAAGTAGCAGGCAGCTTTCAGAGCTGTCTCATCAGAAAGAGAAGTCCTCAGGGGAGCTCAGACCAAACCACCCACAGAGAGGAGCATGGAGGAACTCAGCTTATCTCAATGGGATTTCCATCTCACCCGCTTGCATGTCCAGCGCAAAGGTTACTTACACACAGCTTACACCATGCACCAGCACAGTGAGGCAAAGGCATGCCAGAGCCAGCTGCTGCCAGGTCTCCTGCTCATTTAGAGGAGAAACAGGGAGCAGAGACCAACCAGAACCTCCCAGCAGAAAGCGGCTATCTTTCTTTGTAAGCAAAACACACCCCCTGTAGCTGTTAAGATCTTTGCTCTCTGAAAAGGTTTTGTACTACACAAGCACCATGCTTCAGGGCAGCTGTTTATTCAGTGTCCATGGGCAGAGCAGAAAGGCAGTCCCAGAGGAGCACAGCAATCCTAGCTGGTGCCGGAGGCTGCACCAAGGGGCTGGGCTGGCAGAGGAAACGAGTGCCCACCTCTAAGAGCAAGACTGGAGTGGGACCATGCTCCCAATGGAGCGCAAAGGATGGCAGGAACTCTCTCTGCAGGAGGAGAAAGCACCCATGCAAGGGGCAGAGCGCATTAGATATGGGGAGGCAGTGATCTGCCATGCTCAGCCTGGGACTGTGCACCAATTCCTCCCCTGACATCCGCTGCGGGTGTGAGTAAAGCATCTGACCCACCCAGCAACCAGCGCTTCACACTCATCAGGGCCATCACTGGGTTTCAAAGTCCAAAGGCTGGAGGGATGGGCATTCTGCTATCAGACAGCCTGTCAACAGCCCTCCCTCATCCTGGCCCTGCCATCAGGGTCCAGCACAGAGCTGAGGGCTTGCATGGGAGGACGGGGCAGGGTCTGCCAGGCTGGACTCAGCCCCGGTGCACAGCCTGCCACTGCCCCTTGCCACCATCTCAACCCCGACAGAGTTAAATCCTTTCAACTATTCAGAAAGGAAAACCTAGGCATGGTGCTGAAGCTTTCCCGTTGGCAGGAGCCTGTCAAATCCTCCCTCCCATCATCTTTCATTGACTGTTAGCTCTTCCAAAGAAATAAGGGCTGTAGCCATCCCAGACAGAGACCTGCACAGTTGTGGTTACCCTGGAAGAAAGCCCTTTCCAGCTGAGAAACCTCACAGCCACAGAGGAAGCTGTGGCAGAGGAAGGCACGAACAAAGCCACTGGCCCTGAGCTACTTGCAGGCATGGGCAGCAGCCAAGAGCTCTGTCCCTGCCTTCACGAGCACGGGCACAGGGCACTTTTTCCCCCCAAACTGGGGTGGCCTCCATGGCTTTCCAGAGTCCCACCACCTCCGCAAACATCTTTTATAGTCTCTGTGCCTCTTTGTTTCCCAGGGTCCCAGGCCCAAGAGACCCCAAATGACAGGGATGTCACCACAGGGCTGGCACACAGCCGCTGCTACCAGTTTGCCTGCACGCTCTGCACCCAGCAAACCTGCGAGCCCACCAGGCCGGACAGCTTTCTAGAAAACTAGGAAAAAAACCTCCATCGAAGCAGAAACCAGGTCACAGAGCTGAGACATCATGGGGAAGAAAGGCAGCGGGTTCATCACAGCAAGGAAGGCGTCAGTTAATTAAGGCACATGTTCATAGCATTACCCAGCCCAGCTCCAAGACACACGTTCAAGGCTTCACAGAATTGTAATAAGTGCAATACTTAATTTACTTTTCCTTTAAGTTTGGGAGAAAGGGTGTGGAGCTGTTCCTCTGGAGTAAGGCAGTTGGAGAGGCAGTGCCTTTGATCAGACAAAGCAGCAAAGCACATAGTGGCAGGGAGGCACTCAGGATGGAGGTTTGTTTTTTTTTTTTTTTGGCCCCAGCAAGCTCATGCTGCCCTTTGGCTGGGTACAAAAGCAGGATGACACTGAGGTCCCCACCAAGGGCTGCCCATCCGGGGTCAGGACACTGCCCGGCCCCTCTTGGAAGTGTTGGGTAATGGAGATTAAGGCAGAAGGAGGGCACAAGCCCAGCCCACGCCTGCTGTGCTCGTCTCACCCTTCTGCTACGGACACTACCCGTAGGCAAAACACCGTCCCTCAGTGCCTGCCTGGCACTGAACCCAGGGGCAAATGCGCTGCCCCGAAAGGGTTAAGCGTGGGGCATGGTTTCAGGGCTCGTCATCCCTGCAGAGAGGCAGCACAAAGCCAGGATTGTGAGAAATGGGGTCTTGCCAGCAGCAGCCATGGTGGCAGAGCAGCACGCTGTACCAGCCGCACAATGGGTGTTGAGCATGCCGGGCCAGGGTACAACTGGCACAGAGATGCACCCTGAAATCAGGTTACCAGTCCCTTGCAGTTGGGGACAGCCAGACAGAGGGACGCTGAAGCCCCCAGATGCTCGGTCCCAGCCCCACAGAGCAACAGCAGCACCCTGCAAACTGCTGCATTCCCTTCCCACCCACCCCCCCGCCTTCTAAAACAGCCTGAGTATTTTAGGACCTGGGTACAGCCACTTGGCTGCCACAGAATCGTGCAGCCAGACTATTTAGGGAGAGGCATATTTATAGGGCATGAGAGACAGTGCAATTCATTCTCCGCCACCCCCCGACCCCCCCGCAGGCACAGGCACTCAGCACAACAGGGCACGGTACAGGCTGCACCTTGTTGGTCGGCCGATGCTCCCAGCACACCTCAGCCCTACCAAAAACCCCACTGTCTGCCTTTTAGGAGCTCTCAGAACCCCACTGTCTGCTTTTTGGGAGCTCCCTTTCAGGACCCAGCGCTCCAGCCAGCCCCTAATACTGCTCACACCTGTTTCACTGCCTGCAGAGCAGCCCTGTCCCAGTGATGGACACCGGTCAGCCCTCACAGGCAGCACAGGCAGAACTGGAGGAGTGCACCAGGGCAAGTTTGCTCCCTAAATGCACCCCAGGGACCCGTCCCGTCCTCTACTCCAGGAGCGGCACAGCAAGAGTACACAGTAATCTGGTGCCTCGCCAGCCCTCCCCAGCCCTGCCATCACCCGCTGTCCTGCTGTGACACAGGAACTTTGCTTCCTTCGGGCTCAAATCTCCCCGGGCCGCAAGCCAAGCCTCACCCCGCTGACGCGCAGGCATTACAGACAGAGGGGCTCTCGCGCCAATGGGCAAAGATGTCTCGCATCGCAGGCAGGTGGGCAGCTCCAGCAGCAAGTCAGTGCCATGGCAGGTCCCCACCTGCGATGGCTGGGATGCCGCAGGCAGCTACGAGCACTGCGGCTGGTGTGATAAGACTTCGCAGCACCGCCGCAGCAGCGTTCCTGGCAGCAGATGAGACACAGGCAGCAGCTGCCAAAATCTGCTGCAACAAGGATGCACCCAGATTCCCACACTGGCTCGCTTCCACCCCGGCTGCCGAAGCGCTGGGCAAGGAAAGCAGGAGCAGAAACTGGGGGGGAAGGAGGGAATACTTGCTGAACAGACTTGCTTAAGAGCAAGAAGTATGTTATACACAATTACTGCCCAAGTACAATCATTGTACTGGTGTTACACAGCATAGCTGGGGGGTTACACCGCAGAAGAAAGAGGGATCAGGAAGGGAGGAGAAAGGAGATGCCGAAGACAGCATCACCCGTACTGACTCTGCAGTCACCTCCCAGCTGCCTGAAAAACCCCAAGGAAAAAAAGTATAGTTAAATGAGAAATCCCAAATCCTGAAGGATCAAAGACCAGTTTCTAAACATTCGCACTTCTTAAAAAAGGCTGGAAAGAAAACCTGCCCTCCCTGTACATGTTCACTGTACCTGAGCTTGCTCCATATGCTACAGGCGCCCATACTTTGATCTGCAGTTCCTGCATGCTGCAGTGGCCTAAAACAGGCTTTGAAATAAAGCAGTCAGAGTAATGGTGCTGAAGTAGTAATAATCTCCTCTTAAATATTCCAAAATCCTTTCTAAGTAGTATTTTATTCCCTCTGAGCCTTGTGTTTCACCTTACATGGAGAGGGAGGTGCTGATCTCTTCTCCCTGGTATCCAGTGATAGGACACATGGGAACGGTTCAAAGCTGCCTCAGGGGAGGATCAGACCTTGACATCAGGAAGCATTTCTTTACCTGAGAGGGTGGTCAGACACTGGAACAGGCTTCCTAGAGAGGTGGTCGATGCCCCAAGCCTGTCAGTGTTTAAGAGGCATTTGGACAATGCCCTTAACATGCTTTAACTTTTGGGTCAGCCCTGAAGTGGTCAGGCAGTTGGATTAGATGTGATCATTGCAGGTCCCTTCCAACTGAAATATTCTATTCTGTTGCCGAGAGCTTTGGAAACAATTCCTCCATAGTGGGGTGGGGACAGGAACAGGCTCCCCGGCCACGTGCAGCTCCATCCTCCCCAGCCTGGGCAGCAGGAGCTCTCCTGCTCTTGGAGGGGCACAAGGGTGAGATGAAAGTCTGCTCCAGCAAGATCTCCTCCAAGATGCTGGGCAAGACCCTGAGGCACCGAAGCCTGCAGGGCTCAGGCTGGGTGGCTGAGTCCCCATGGGGATGACCTCCCTGACCGCTGGGACTCCAGAGACAGTCGGTCACACTGGGAGCACAGCAGTCCTGGAGTGAGGTCTGCTGCAGCACAGACATGTCCCTTGGTACAGGGGCACGTGGCAACAGGCTCCCCAGTGGCTCTAGGAGGGCAAGAGGGCATCACAGCCTCTCCCACCGGCCAGGCCCAAGGCATTTGCAAAACATGTGGGCAACACATGAAATTCCCTAAATACAAAAGCAATAGCAAGGCTGGAATTTCTCCACTCCCTCACACCCCGCAGATGAAGCTGGTGGCAGTTTTCTTCCCCCCTACATCCCTCAGAAAGGTCACTCCCGCCAGGCACAGCCTCACAGCTCCTGAGGGTTTGCTCGGAAGACTTGCAGAAGGGAGGTTATCATGGTTACCACAGTCCTCACACACTGTCAGAATAAGCAGCTAATTAGGTCACATTATAATTAGCCTGAGCTGCAGACTTACTGGTCCCTCTACCAAAAAAGTACCCACCCTGAGAGCTGCCTGCACCCAGCAGCCCCCGCATGCTCCTGCACAGCCCCAGCACCCGTAGCAGATACCCACACCCCACCACTGGGGGAATGGGGCTGAAATGGGGGGATGCTGCCAAGAGGAGGCTCGGAGAAGAGGGGGAAGAGTGAGCCCAACCGTGGCAGCAGGAGCAAGGAGCATCGCTTCTGCTTTGGAAGGATGCTCCTGGCACAGCTGGCGGCACACAGCACCTGGATGGAGCGCTGGATTTCAGCAAGTCCTGTGTTCAGATGAGCCCTTTGCTTCCACCCTGGCACAGGGCGGTCACAGCCCCCAGCCCTACCGTGGGAAGCCCCAACAGATGCCAAAGCAGCCGCTACCACCAGCAACTCCCTCTTCCCAGCTGGAGTACCCTGACCCAGCCCACACCACACGTGGGTCCCTCAGGCTCAAGTTTAGTCCAAATTACAGATTTACAAGTCCCACTAAACTGATAAGAAACACTTTTGGATGGGATGTCTCACACTGGAAACCTGGCATCCTGTGGCAGTGAGAAGATACATCCCTGTCTGTCAAAGGTTTATTTTTTACCATTAGTAAGAAAGACACTGGGTTGTGGTGGCCAGGGCCAATAAGCCATACAGAGAATAAAAGCCTTAATCACATTAACTCAAGCTCTGACTGGCAGGAATTAAGGGGAACATTTCCTCTCCTCATGGAGCACGTGGTATCAGCCAATACTTGAAACGGGTCGCTGGCAGCAGATGGAGCAAACGCCAGGTGCCTGCAACAGAGTGAAAACCAGGACGGGGTTTTCCGTCCGCCTGTCCGGGGAGCACAGGGGAGCACGCAGCCCAGCTTCTTCCCCCGTTGGCATGGCTGGCCAACACTCAGCTGCGATAGTCCTCACAGGGCGCACAATGTTTTCCAGCTACATTGACCAGCTGATTAGCATTCAACTGCAAAGCCTAGGTTCCCCTGCTTACAAGGCCGGCATTTAATGAGCTCATTGTTGAAAAATTCGGCTGCAATTCAGCTCTCGCACTTTTTATTTCCTAAACCACTGCTGTTCCTTTCCTTATCCCTATTGAGGCAGTGCCGTTGCCTGCTCTGGGCTTTCACCCGCAGCTTTTTGGCACTGCAGCTGCCAGCATCGTTTGTCCTCCTGCCCTCACAGTGCCACGTCTCAGCCCTCTGCAGAGTGGGATCCCCTTTAACCATCGTCAAAAGGGGCACAGGAGTGAGTGGAACAGCAGTCTGGCCCGGACCACCTCCCTTCCCGCGCCCAGCTGCCGACGTGACGCTGCCCATGCAACAAAGAACTCCGGTGAGCTCACAAAAGCCCATCGCCTGGTCTCCCGCCGCAACAGTCCCCGGCTGGGGCCAGCAACACCCCACAGCATCGGGAGCTGGGAGCGTTCAACCAGCCTCTTGGTCTCCTTGCAATGACCCCAGCCTCCAGGGTACCCAAGGCAGCTTTCAGGTAGGAGGAGAAGGACCTAACAAGTTACAAATCCTGCTGTGGTCACCTCCATAAGCTGATGTAGGTCTTTGCACCTTGCTGTGACAGCCCACGTAGCACCTCTGCGGCCCTGCCTCCTCGTGCCTGGCAGCAGCTCCCCCCCAGTCCAGCAGCCTTGCCTGCAGCCGGCTGGCACGCGCGGCTGCCTGCCTGACCCCTCTCCTTGGGGCTGGGAGAACATTAGTCTCCAGGAGCACAGGGTTTTGTGGTGCTGGAGGGAAACCTGAGCATGGGTAATCAAAGCTACCCAGGCACAGCCCAACTGCAGGAGCCAGGACAGGGCTCGTGGGGGAGAGACACGGGCTGGATCATGGGCCCGGGAAGGGCCAAGCCTTTCTGCTTACAGAACCAGCTCTCCACATTGCCACCAGCAGCTTGACTTAAATACAAACCTGCCTGCTGGGAGAGGCTCTCCATCCCAGCCCCCAGGGAGAGGAAAGCAAGAGGCAGCCGTGCTCGAGCTTCGTTTGGGTGCACGGGAAGGAGCACAAAGCCTGGCAAACAGAACCGCGGATGGAGCTACAGCGCTGCCGGGCAGAGCCAGCAGAGCTGCTGGGGACGCCCGGGGTTGCAGTCGCTGAAGGCAGATGTCCAGCGTCGCTGCAAGGCCCTGGGACGCAGAGCCGCCAGGTGCGGTGCCCCCGTCCCGCCCGGAGCGTCCCCCGCAGTCACAGTCGCGGGGCCACCGCCGCCAGCCATCATCCTGAACCCGGGCAGAGCAGGGGCAACCCCGGCCGTGAGCTAAGCGCGGGATGAGCTCCAGCCCCGAGCCGGAGGCGAACCGTACGAACCCCCCACAGCACAGGGACAATACGGGGATCAGATGGCGGCAGTAACCCGTCGCAGCTCCTTCCAGCCCGACCGCAAAACCGCAGAGAAATGCAAACATCTCGCCAAGAGCAGGCAGCCTCTCTCCAGATGTCCCCCCGGGGAAAAGGGCTGGGAGGGTCTGCGGAGGGAAGGCAGAGCCCCAGATCCCACGGCAGAGCCCGCAGCCCGCTCCTGCCCGCCGTGGGCCTCGCCGCCCCCGGCGAAGCCCCGCTCCCGCCCCACTCACAGGCGGAACATTCGCTCCATGTCCTTGATCTGCCGGCGGCTGAACTCCTTGAACTCGGTGTAGGGGTTGAAGACGGCGGCCCGGCGGGGGTGCGCCGCCCCCTCGTTGATGTCCTGCCGCCGGCACAGCTTGGCGCTCAGCTCGGCGCCCGCGCTGGCCGTCAGGCAGCTCCGCTCCGCCTCGTCCCCGGCCTCGTCCCCGGCCGCCTCCTCGCCCCTGGCCGCTTCGCCCTCCTCCGCCGCCGCCCCGCTCTCCTCCAGCTGCAGCCGAC